AGGCCATTCCAGGAGAAAAAGAATGGCGTTCTGCAAAGGAGGAGAATCTCTTCCATTTAGCCGCATAAGAGCGACAAGTGGACGGTCTTAGAGCAGATGTGAGAATCGCCTGAATTTCCTGGTCAACAGTCACCGGTAGCGAAGCAGTTGTCGTCGAAACCGACCTAGGGGCCATTGGTACAGTGGAGTGAATACATTCCGGTAGAGGTTCGGATGTCGTCGGTACCGACGCAGCGGAATGACTCAAGTGATCCGCCATGCTGTCAACCTCAAGGCAGTCAGATCCAGATGTCGGATCGCTCCGTTTTGCTGCGTTAATAGCTGAGGAATAGACGGGAGACGAAGAAACGTCCCTTTGGATAGATGAAGAAGGGTGGCGAACCACGGTTGTCTCAGCCACCATGGAGTTATTATTATTCCTGTGGCATTCTCTTGAGATATCTTCGCTATCACTTTCGTTAGAAGTGGAACTGGGGGAAACACATAAAAGGCTATGTTGTCCCAGGGGATCATAAGGGCATCTCCCATCGATCCCGATCCTGTGCCCGCCCTGGAACAGTATAGGGCACACACTCTGTTGTCGCAAGTGGCGAACAAGTCCAAATCCGGATAGCCCCACAAACGGAAGAGGTCCTGGCATATTTGTCTGTCCATCTCCCATTTGTGCGTTGTTGACATATGTCTGCTCAACATGTCTGCTTCGGTGTTGTCGGTCCCTGCGAGGTGGACTGCTAGAAGCATAATGTCCCTCGGTATGCACCAGTCCCAAATGGCCATCGAGAGACGTGCTAAAGGTGGCGATTTTGTGCCGCCCTGTTTGTTGATGTAGAAGACAGCTGGTATGTTATCTGATGCAATCTGGACAACTTGTTGGCATAGGACAGTCTCGAAAGCCCTTAGGGCGTTGAAAATCGCCTGTAGTTCGAGAATTTGATGTGCTTCCTTGCTTCCCGTCGGTTCCAAGTTCCCTGGACCCGAAGTCCAAAATCGGACAAAGACCACCATCTCTTTTCGGGACCGTGAAGTATCTGGAGTAGAATCTGTGCAACCCCTCCGAGCAGGATAGTTGTCGAATTGCGCCCTTGCGAAGCAACTGAGAGACTTCTTCGCACAGTACCGATGAAGAAGATGTAAATCGAATCAGACACAGTGGAGGGACGACATCGAATTCTATCCTATATCCGAACTGAATGATAGACAACACCCACCTATCAGATGTAATGGACTCCCAAATGGGGAGTCAGCCCTGGAGCCGGTCCCCAAAAGGGAGAGGGAAAGGTGGTGTGGGAAGAGAGAGAATGGTTCGCCTGGACCATCAACGTGGACGTTTGTCAGTGTTGAAGCACCGCCGGCCCTGGGGGAAACGTTGCTGCGGCTGTTGTCTTTGCCGTTGCTGTCTTTGTTGGTAGTGTTGCCGAGGGTGGAATTGTGGATGGTAAGAGGAATGAGGCCCTTGCCACTTACGCCCCTGTTGAGGAAGCTCCATGTGGTGCACAGTCATACGCGATTCGTGTATCGCTTTTAACTTGCGGTCGGTTTTCTGATGGAATAAACCGGTACCGTCGAATGGCATTTCCTCGATCCTCCGTTTCACCTCATTGGGGAAATTGCAATTATGAAGCCATGCATGTCGGCGCAGTGAGATGGCATTCACGAGAGCTCTCGAATTGGTATCTACGTGATGTCGTGCGGTAGCTAATTGCTGCACTGCTACCTGCATAGCTTCCTTGATGAATACCCTGGCAAGCTCGGCTTGGCGGTCTGGAAGAGAGGAAGCAACGTTATCCAGTTTTTGCATAATAAAATACTGGTAACATGCCAGTGTTGCTTCATAGTTCGATAAGTGCACACTGAGTCCAGAGGCCGCATAGACTCGGTGGGCGAGCATATCGATCTTCCTCCCTTCCTTGTCGCGAGGGGCTGTGTGTCCCCTGGACTCCCTGCCCTGGGAGGATTCGACGACAACAGAGTTCAGTCGTGGATGGCGAATCAGGAACGGAATGTCATCCTCCCAAACTCTGTACATGGCCTCATGTACAGGTCACTTGTGGTTGGGCCGGTTGATCCCAGGGTTGGACCATAGCCTGCCGAAGTGTGGTAATAAGCGGCAGGACTATGGCCGCGGACTGTTCTCCCCTCACGACATCATAGAAGCGATCCGTGGATGGGCCCGGTTGTTGACTAGCTTCAATCTCTAGTGAATGGACGAGGTGAGACATGAGCTCCGTAAAGGAGACATGTGGCTCATCGGGTGACGCCGGTCCTTGGGAGGCGACTGCTACATCAGGGGATGTAGAGTCAACCTCGGATTCGTCCGAATCCAGATAATAAAGTGGACGGTCGCTCGAAGATGACGTTTCTGGGGAGGTTGGACATCCCCTCTCCACATGCCTGGCCGTCGAAGGCGAATCTCTCGGGGCCGATGGAGATGCACGATCCCGAGGGTAATATGAATAAGACTGATAGCCACCCCAGTCTGGGAAGGCACCATATCCGTGCATCCTCCAGTCGTCACCCTGGTGTTCGGAGGAGCAGCTGTGGCGCCTTGGAGGCAAAGGTGACTCCACAGGTGGCTCAGTCGTAGGCATTGGAGTCGGAGACCGTTCCCTCGGCGGGGAGTCTCTAATCTTGCCATCAGAGATGGACTCCCAAAGCGGCTCCTCCACTTGTTAGGTCGGAATGCTCTCAGGCCGAATGAGAAGCCTGGGGGATCCCGGCGGTGTTACCTGCATAGTAAGTTGCAGGGCCGGTCCCGAAGGGGTCAGTACTGTGGCGGCGGATGGTACCGAAAAACCTGACGAACCTGAGCCCCGGTGTTTGGGGCGATCAGGTTTCTTGGTCTTGTGAGCAGGTTTATCTGCCTTCTCCTTCCTCGGAACTTTACAAGCGGAAGGCTTATCCGAACCCGTGTGCTTGCGCTTCTCCCATATTTTGGCTGGGGAAGAAGGTGGCACCTGGGTCTCCGCTGGAGTAGCGCCTTCAGCCGAAGGATGCTGAGGAGAAGCGGTGGAAGCGGGACACTTCGAAGGAGCGCTCACAGTTGAGGTGGAGCGTGGAGGAGGCGGTGCGGCTGAAGAGGAACCAGGCATAAGAGCAGTTGATCAGATTGCATCAAGGCCTGGTCCCAGAGGAGCTTATGGAGACGGTTCTCCCTGTTCTTCCACGCTTGCTTGGTAAAGGCCAAGCAATGGCCGCACTTGTCGGTTCTATGCCCCTCGCCGAGGCAGAGGAGGCATAGATCATGCGGATCCGCAGGTGACATTTTGGATCCGCATGCGGTGCATTTGCGAAAGGCTGCTTGCTGCACCATCGCGGAAAAAGAAGAAAAGATGACAGGATAGAGGGTAAGATAATATTTTTGGGGGTTTTTTTTGTTTTTGTTTTTGAGAAGAAAAAAGATAGAGGGATATACAAACTTGGAATATAAGAATTAGTTAAAGAAGGGATAAAGGCAAAGGGAACAGTAAGGACTCAAGATCTTAGCGAGGACATTAACAGGCATGAGGCACAGCGAACGGCGGTCGCAAAGACAGAACAAAATGGCGGACACTCCGCTCTATTTATACCATGAAGGGGGAGGGAAGCAGAGTTTTCCTGCCAAAAACCGTTAGCTTTTTAATCTTCCAGCCTAGGCACTGCGCAGGCGCAGCACCCATATGTGTAATGCACAGAGGCCACGACGAAGAAGTGCTGCTTGGGCCCTTTTGGGGCAGTTGACACTGGTGTTTGCTGGGAGCTACTTGGCAAGGTTTTTTGCTGCCCTTGCCAAGTAGCTCAGTATCCTATTCCCAATACCTGCAATTGAGTTCGCTGCCCAGGTTTGAATGACATGACAACCACTAAAACCACCCAATGGATTGTTGGGGTGACTTTTTGCCCACAAACAAGCCACCTTGGGGATATCAGTCTGAATGTACATGATACGACACGTTAGTTCTATAGTATGTAACTCAGCTAAAAAAAAATCCCTTTAGAGTAAGTGTACACTGTCCCAATTTTGAACAGGACCAGCATGCATCAAGAGAGGAAGATTAAACCTTTCTTCCTCCACCCATCTGCTATTTGTTTCCTTGAAAGTTCATTCCCCTTCCTGGAAATTTAAAAAAAGAATTTCTCCATTGGAGATGGAGGCTTTTTTCTTTTTAAAATAAAATCCCTGCTCAGGATGGAACGTTGAGAAGCAGCTGGGAGTCAGGGGATTGCTTAATTCCCTTCCTAGTGAGTACGTCTGAATTGAGCCATATGTAGAGTCTAAAGTTAAAAAATGACAAGTAGGCCCAGCTACACATTACAGTTAACATAACCCACAGCATAATATACAGGACCACCCCCAATCAAGTATTTGCATGATTCAGGGTATCTTATCATTTAAATTTTCACGAGGAATGAATTGATGTTTAGCCAACAAAAGCTATTTTGAAATCATATCTTAATGAACACCATTTGATGTTACATCTTTTGCAGACCCAGTGTGATGGTTACAGTGTTAGACTTGGGAGAGGTTCTAGTTCCCACTTAGCTATGAAACTCATTTGATGACTTTGGGCTACTTACTAACTTGGTTCACATCATAAGAAGCCACAGTGAGTTGAGAATCTTCTTTGCACTGCATCAGTGTAATTTTTGGTGATATCCAAACCCAACAGAGAATATTCACGGCATTATTAATTTAACCTGTTTGGGCCAATCTGAGAACTCATGGTTCCTGGAGGTGAATAGTAGATTGCATTCAACAAACCACTCTGTGGATACTCAAAGATTCATTCGGAGTGTTTGTGCATCTGAAAAATGCTTTGGTCGATAAAGAAGATCTTGCAAGAAGGGTCTGTGGCTCTGAATGTGCAAAGGGAGGGACTTGAGCTCACGACACAGCAAGCCTGTGATGTGATGACCTCCATGTGTTTTATTACATCTGGAGGGCAGTATATTGGGGAGGTCTGTACTAAAGAAGTGGCAGCAGAGTAGGTGAAAGAAGTTGACAGCTACAGTGGAGGCCAATCTGACTTTAAAGAGTTTATTTTTTCAGCTTCTTATGGAAAATATGCATATGAATTACCTTTATACTCAAATATCCACAATATATGGCATATTTTGTTCATTTCACAGATGAGTGAACCTGTGCCACCCCCATGTGCCTTCTGAAACAAGCATTCCCTAAAGCACATCTTTGAAAACTATGCAGTTCTAATCTCTCTACAGGCAAATTGCTCTTGATGCCCTTACTGAAATTTTTCAATTGGTTCTTTGTATGTCATTATACCTTAGGATATTTATAACTGCTTGTTACTAAATATTTTATAATCTTCCATAGAGCAAAAATTATTTAGTGTACCCTTATTTTAGGCAGCTAATATTTAAACACCTCACCTTTCCTCTATAAATCTCATGTATATGTACAATCACAACAACTAGTTTTAAACTCTATACAATTCCTTTATGCTTCAGGCTCCTGATTCACAGATGTACTAGTGCATTTCACAACTCCTCTTGAGATAATTGTAACAATTTAGAGAGGATACAGCTCAAAGGAAGGAAGAGGAACTTTCAGCTGTGTCACAGAAAAGATGACACTTCAAAGCTTGAAATACTATTTAAAAGATTCTTTTTAAATAATTTCTTCCTGATTGTATATTGCTGTTTTTCTATCATTTGGTTTCTTACTTTTTGCCATACAAATCCAGCCCTTTAGATGAACTGAAGCTCCTCATTTTCTGGGGCTTGGCTTTTAATGATGAATTGTGTGATTTGAGCCTCAAAATATAGTGGAGGCTGCGTCAATGATAAGCATAGTGGGGGTGGGGAGTACAGTGAGATACTTGCCTGCTGTTGCACCAAATAAAACATTAATAGGGATTTGTAAATTGGGAGAGGGGATATTTGAGTCTTATTAACAGGAAAAAAGGAATACTCATGGATAAAAGCAAGATGCTACCTATAAGTTTCAACCAAAGACTGTGCTGGTGCCAATTAATTAAAAATGCTCCTCAAAGGTTATCCCATTTGGCTCTGCCTCAGGTGAAGCTTGTCCCAGAGATTCCAGCTGTAAGGTATCAAGATGATTATAGACCGCTTGGTATCACTCGCTACAAGTTTTGCTACAGATTTTTAGCAAGAGCAAACAAGTAGCACAAGAACATACTGATTTATTTTCCCTTTAAGAAAAAGGGAAATACTCTGGATTAATGCTATCCATTGTCAGCAGTAGGGTCAGAGGCTCGTAAAATCTACTTTGAAAATTGGGCTTGTTGGCTACAAATATAAATCCAGTGGAGATTTCTGTCACTACCTTCAGGAGGCCTGGAATCACACAATCTTCTCATTGCAGAATGGCAATAGCATTTATGTGAATCAGGTTCTGAATTTTTCTTTAAAATACAGTAGATTATTCAGTGCATTCCAGGTAACAAAAGCCAGAGTAAACAGTGTGTGGAATGCAGTTAATATACAAGAACCAATGCAGTACTTTTACAAAGCCATTTGGTAACATTGAATTTTTCCAGAATAAGCATATAAAAAGTTTTAAGCTGGTTCACAATGACTTTCAGTATAATGTTATTAAAATACACTGATGTTAAATCAAAAATATTTTACTATTTACATGTACACAGTATAAACCTTAAATATAAGAATATGTCTATTGTAGGAAGTTTAAAGAGAACATTTAGTCGGATTGGCCCATCTTATACTGCAGCTGAACCATTTTTGGTCTTCACACTATGAAACTGCAGAATTCACCAGTATATTGTTAGTGCTATGGCAGAGAATGTTTCATTTGCACACCAGATTAAAGTCTTTCATCAAAAAGTGCCAGTTTTCATTCCACTGTATTTTACTTTGTTAAAGCCTACTCCAAGCAACTCCGGGCACTCAACTTGCTCTTGTGCAATCTGGTTGCACTTCCACATCAGGCTGTAGTTCATCTCTTCTGTGATCACACTATCATGTTTATATTCTGGATGGTTTGCAACAAACTCTCGCATCCAACGAGCAGCTGTCATTAATTCTCCTGGAAGAATAAGTTAGGGGTATGTCAAACTCAAACACATTTAAATTTCTTTATATCTATATGAATAGAGCCCCATACTATTTGTACTTACTTTACAAAGTCTTCTTCCAACTCAATATTAAATACAAATTATAAGGTACCAGTTCCATACAACCAAACAATGCATTCAATGTAAAGTATGAAAACAGTATTCATTGGGTTTTACAGCATCAGATTTAGATATTTAACATACTATATTGTAAAACAAATTCTATCAAACTTTTATTCCTTAACAATATTCAGCTGATAAAAAGTTTTCCATTACTCAATTTTTCAGCTAAATAAATAAATATAAATCTGAATGTATTTGCCATGAAAGTAGTAACAATGAACAGCCAAATTATCAGTAACATTTGGCAAATTTGTAAGTAACCTTTTCAGATGACAATGTAGTTGTCCATATGTAAAACAGAGAATGGGGTAAATTAAAAAACAAAAATAATCAAAACATATTGCAGAAGATGCTAATCTAAGATACACAAAAGCTTTCCAATTCAAAATTTTCTAGAAAACGCACAGCACTGGCAATATCAAATGTGTTTTCATACCTGATGCTCTCTTTTTTATTAGTTTCAGGTAGTTTAGAATACTGCATCTTGTATCCACATCCACTTCCATATTTTCAAGGTAGGAGTTTAAAATTGGAATTAATCCAGGAAATACTCCCTCCTGTAAGATACAGACCAGAGCTGAAACAAACGTACTTGAAATGTATTTATTGTTTTAATTCTTGTAAGCCGTCCTGGGGCAACTTTCGTGTAGGACGGGGTAGAAATATTTTAAATAAATAAATAAATAAATAAATAAATAAATAAAATGCAACATTCCCTTTTCCAAGGGATTCTCAGTATTGTAACACCTTAAGACAACAGTTACTTCAAGACCCCCTTAAAAGCTATCAAAATGCAAGATGCAGTAGCATTCTCTCTTGTCCCACCCTCAGCTACAGGAAACCCATATCATAATCTACTGCCCAGGAGATTTAGGTCTGCATCCCAACACTTAACCCCTCCCATACCAAGGAAATGAAAAAAATGTGTCAAACTCCCAACCTCTTGATAAATCGAGACAGTTCGAGAGAATGAAGGGTGAATACTGCGCTGAGTTCAAGTGGCTGGACCAAGAACCAGAAGACCAAGACAAAATATTAACATAGAATATATCCTTCCATGTAAACTGTAGCTATTAGAAGTACTACTACCCTGTTGTCCTCACCTTTCCATTGATTATTGTATCTATGCTCATTAAAATATACTCTTCTGCATCTGTTTCTGTACCATTTTGAGCTGGACCACATCCATCCACTACAGCGTTGCCACCTTTTCAAAGGAAGATAGATGGCCCAGTGGAAAAGGGTTGGGAGAGGAGAGAACACAGAACATCCAGAGAAGGCGATTAGATTCATCTCCATTTTACACTTAAATGTCCAGTAAAATGAGACTGCAAACAAGCAGCAGCATACCTTTACAAATGTCTTTTCTGAAATAAAACATGCCCTGCCGGACGGCATCCCGCTTCTGAGCTACTTTCATGTTCTCATCCACCTAATAAAGGGAGATTGGGGGGAAAGGTTATAATGGATTCCTTGGGGGGAGAAAAGTGTTTGCACTCAAGTTCATGGGAGTGGGACAGTTTTCACTGCTGGTTTCCTGAAGGTATAAAAACATTAGGATGAATCCACAGCTATCTCTATGATCACAGCTGGAGACCCTCCAATAGCTATTATCATGGGAATGGCTAATGACTCAAAGAATTCTCTCAACACCATTGTTTTTCCATGTATGCAACTACAAGGAAGAATCAAGCAAGTTGAACCAGATTTGAGCTACTCACTTGATAATTTAAACAGACAAGGAACATTCTAAATTTCTCTCAGAGATGGGAGTTTTTTCAGTTGCTAACGTTTTTACAGAACCAGAGTAATCATCTCAAAAGTTTGGTAAATGACTTTTTTAAACCACTCATATCCTTGACATGCATAAGGTCCTAGAGTCAATGCCTAGCATCTCCAGTTAAAAGGCTCAAGTAGCAGGTCAACTGAAAGAGATCACTATCAGTCAGAAGAGACAATACTGAGCTAGAGGGACCAATGATCTGACATCCTACAGTCCTGTTTTCCCTATGTTCACACTGGGCTGGTTCACACAATGTTAAGAAGCCATGGTGAAATCTTACCACTATGTGTCTGTTGTGTCATCCACACAGAGTTCCTGTGTGGTAGGATTTCCTCAAACCATGGAGAGAATCAATACTCTATTATAAGGTTTCCATGCTTAACCATGGCTTCTCCTGTTGTCTGGACCCAGGGATCTCTATTTTACCAATGCTGGTATGGAAATACCAGAGTGCCATGGCAAGAATGGCTGAAGAACTTTCAGCCTTTGATCTCTATTGTCCTAAGGCAACAGATCCATCACTGCTCACTTCATTCCCATTGCCAAGGGAAATGGCCATCTCCCTCTTACTTTTGGAAACAGGCAGCACACAGGAAAATACATGGTGGAAGAAGGGGGAGATCATGGTGAAACGGTTTATTTTCATCTAATAGAAACCTGTGGGGGCTGGACTGGCTGGGAAGCACCACAGACATGCAAGTACACTCAAGAGAGAGAAAGGGGGAGCCTGCCACAGGACCACAGGAGACCAGCCAGGAGGAGATTGCTGTGGTCCGTAGGCAAGAATAGGGAAAGTATGGGAATTTTGCTTGCAAGGGCTACCAGGATGTATGGTGAGGCCAGGATAATGGAGCAGAGGGGGAATGGAAACCAAGCTGCCTGCATGAGCATGCAGTCTAGCTAGTAAGTTTGGGCAAAAATTTTTGCAGCATGGAGAGGCTGTGCCATGTGAACTCAGACACTGTCAAGCCAAGTTTCCACAATATTTTCAAAAGCATTGAGTTTCTTCAGTGTGATGACCAGTTATGGGAAAAAAAGATTCCATGAAAGAAAGTTTGTCTACTAAACAGAGAAATACTTCCAGAACACAGTCTCAGTTCATATTCAGTAACATCCCAAAGGTCTGATTTGATCTTGCTTGGGCCAAGAGCACAAAATACAGCATTTCTTGGAATTCTCTGAAAGGCACAGGGGTTCTAATAGATGAAGTTTTGAAAGCATCTGAATTAGGAGTATATTTCAGTGGTGGGACAGCTATCAAAATGATACTCAAAGTAAGTTTCCCATTTGATTTTAGTTTAAAGGTGTAATCATATTGGGGAAAATGAGACTGTTGGGATTATGAAGAGGTGCTCTATATTTTCAAGAAGTTACAAATCATCTCAATTCATCACAGGAAGAGCAGTGGGCATATTTCAGCACTGTCCTCTGTTTTTAATGCCATGAGAAAGTAAATGTAAGCATGAAAACAGGAGGGGTGAAGCTTTTATTACTCTCTTTCAAATTGCCATAGTCCCAAATTGGGGGTATGTATACTTAAGAAGTAAGTTCATCAGACTCACAGGGAGTTAAAGATGACCACCATCAAATGAAATGCCAAGCTGGAGAAAGAGGACACTGTGAGGAACAATAAGATTTTTCACCACTCTTCCCAGGTGTCCCATGCCTGTTCAGAGATGATATGCAGAACCTCTGGTGCAAGTTCTCACATCAAAACAAACCCCACTGAACAGTCCAGCAACTTACCCAGTGGCAAGTTAATCATGCACAGTTGTGCTAGGAAGAAGAGCATTCATTCCTGGCTGCCTAGGGCAGCCAAGAAAGATTTTTTAAAAGAAAATAAAACAAAACCTTAGCCACCTTGTCCTAAAATGTAAGTTAATCCCTCACCTCTACTGAAAACATATGCCATACATCTATGTAGGTGGCTTTGCAAGGCAAAGAGTGGGAGGAAAAATCTTATCACATGAGCTGCACAGCAAAGACTCTGTTGGGAGGAGGCAGGAGAATTAAGGAAGAAACTAGCTGGCAAGTGCCCAACTGTCTGTTGGTACAGCTTGGCTTCGTGAATGCTTACACAACCCACGATGACTTGTTTTCAGTGTGGCACATGATCAGACCTGTACCCTGTGAAGGCTCAGTAAAAAGTAGCCTAATGCAGTGAAAAAAAAATGCAAATAATTGGGGGAGTTTTTGTGTGACAGATGATGAGCCAACCAAAAGGGAATGAGCTTTGAAAAATACTATGAGATAAAACCATTTCACAAAATAGTGTATGACAGGGGGGAAATGTGTATTATAAGTGAGGCAGGAGTCAAAGGGAAAAAACTCAACATGCTAATGGCAAGGCTTTGGAAGCAAAGGTGCTTGGCATTAAGCAGCTGTACAACTATTTATTTATTACATGTATATCCTGTTTTTTCCTTACAGCAAACTCAAAGCAGCTTACAGAATTCTTCTGCTCCTGTTCTCATTCTTATCCCTGCAGCAACAACCCTATGAGGTAGGCTGGGCTGAAAGTCTGTGACTGGCCCAAAGTCACTAAGTTGGCTCTATGGCGAAGCAGGGACTAGAACCAAGATTGTTAGAGTCCCAGTCCTGTGCTCTTAACCACTACACTGCAGTGGCTCTCTGAAAAATTTGGAAGAAGTACCAGGCCAGCTATCCTCTTGCTTGGTCCAGAATCTTTAATCAATCAGGTGACAACACATTCATGCTGCTGTATTTTTAAACTCTAAAACTATTCTGTTGGATTAACAAAGCCGGTCTGCCCTCAGAGTAGGACAGATGCCTGTGCCTACAGGCAAGTTCCCTGCTATGCTTTTCCAGAGTTGAGCATAATGCATTCACCTTTTAACAATTATTCATGCTTTTTCTTTCAGTCCAGCAAGAAATCATGTTTGTCGGTTATCTTGGTGACTAACTCTTTGGGGGCCAGAGACAGATAGGAAGGAATTGATGTAAACTACCCTGAACTCACAAGATAGGGCAGGATATAGATAAAGTGTAATATTTTATATTCATACTAAATATGATCTGGTAGAAAAGCAGGATAAAATGTATTAAATTAAGACCAGAGAGCAAACTCCTCAACAACTAAAATCGTAATATAATTTAGTTGTTGCCATGTATCAAGGAAAACCCTTTCTAAGCACAAGGTTTTTACCATCCTTTTGAAAACTTGTCAGCAAGCTAGCTAGGCTGATCATCTTGAAGTAAGATGTTCCAAAGGGAAGGGGCCACCATGGATAAAATGACACTTGCCCCACCTTAGATGATAGTGGAATCTGAAACAGAATCTTCCCTGATGCTGACTTCTAGGATTTTCTCCTTCATTCTTCCCTTCAAGCATGTATCATTTTCTTCTAGCATCTGCTTCACGCCATTGTCTGTGCGGTTCTATTTCCTGTGACCAGCCCTCCAAATCAGGTTACCTCCTACCCCTTCAAATGGTGTGAAATTCATTTATGCTCCTATCGAGTCTCAGTTCCTTAAGTCTTTTGTCTCTTCCTCAAGCTACATCCTCCATTAACCCCATATCTTCTTCCACAGTACCTAACTGGCTCTTCTACCTCCTGAGAGGGCAAAACCTTCTTTATTTTAGCCCTCAGGTGATCACATGTGAGATTTAATTATAGCCAGACAGACACTTTCCCGTTCCTTCAAAGAAGTTGGGTGCAAACTATTTAGCCTTTTCAACAACTGCACCAAATGGTTTCTGAAGTTTCACTGTCACAACTGCAATGTAAGACTGGTTATATCCTAAGTGTTTTGTTTAGGTACATGTAAGCAACATTTTCAGACTCTCTCACTTAGCTGGGTAAATCTCTTGTTTTTCTTCAAATCAACCATATTCAGGCAATGTGATACACATAAGAATGTAAGGAAAGCCATTCTAGATTAGATCAAAATTCCATCTAGTTCAGCACTCTGTACATAGAGCTGTCCACAGGATTGCTCAAGCAGAATATGCAAGACCTTTGCCCACCAAAGCTTCTCAGCAACTGGTGTATGCAGGCATGCTGCCTCTGCTAAAAGAGGAAACACGTAGCCAGCAAGGCTAGTAGCCACGGATAGCCTCTTTTTCCATGAATCTGTCCAATCTCCTTGTAAAGGCATCCAAACGGTTGGCCATCACCACTTCCTATGGCAGTGAATTCCATAATTTTACTATACTATCTACATAATGTAGTTCTGCAAGCAAGCAAGTTCTCAATAGCTCATCCAGTTTATACCTTTCATAGATTAAAATTCTTTCAAAATAAAGTAACACAGATTTTAAAATATGAAACATTTCAGTATAAAATAGCAGCTTTGGTCATGTCAATCAAGCTTCTCCACTTAATTTTAGCTAACTCCCCAATTCCACCACAGCCTTGTACAACTCTAAAGGCATGCTGCCTCTGCTAAAAGAGGAAACACGTAGCCAGCAAGGCTAGTAGCCACGGATAGCCTCTTTTTCCATGAATCTGTCCAATCTCCTTGTAAAGGCATCCAAACGGTTGGCCATCACCACTTCCTATGGCAGTGAATTCCATAATTTTACTATACTATCTACATAATGTAGTTCTGCAAGCAAGCAAGTTCTCAATAGCTCATCCAGTTTATACCTTTCATAGATTAAAATTCTTTCAAAATAAAGTAACACAGATTTTAAAATATGAAACATTTCAGTATAAAATAGCAGCTTTGGTCATGTCAATCAAGCTTCTCCACTTAATTTTAGCTAACTCCCCAATTCCACCACAGCCTTGTACAACTCTAAATAGTCACACTATTTGAGAGTTTCCAGAGAGGGTTTTTGGGTTTGAAGATCAGTTCTGTGAGTGGGCCTTTCATCCACTCTACCTTGGGACCTAAACAATCTACAGAATGTAGGGTTTTTTAAAGTCAAGCAAAAGGCAATTACAAAATCATATAGATAAAAATAAATTTTGAATGAAAAGGGACCATAGGTACTTTTACTCATTTCTCACCTTACAAACTAAATAGGCCAAAGGACACAAACATTTCCTCCTTCTGAACAGCACAATTTAACACACTAGAGAGGAGGAGAATGATACTCTTACCTTGGATAAAGGAATCAGAAAATCCAACTTGTAAGAGAGAATGACTCGAGTCAGCAGCACAACAAACACAACATATGCTGAGTTTTCAAAGTCTGTTAATTGGACCTAGGTATTGAGAAGCATCAGAAAGAAGACAAGTGTGTTAATGGAATAGAACTGGAAGGGGTCTATAAGGCTATTGAGTTCAACCCCCTGCTCTGCTTCCACATGTGGTCACCCATCCAGTTGCAAGCTCATGCCTTTCCAGCTTAGCAAGGTGACTCAACATGCTAACTCAATTTATAACTATGCAGCAAAACACAGTTCCTGATCAGATGTACAAATGTAATTTTCTCTGGGATTTTACTCAAGAGAGAAGGGACTGGAACTAAATCTTGAATTTTCACAATGGGTAGAAGGTACTGAGTAAATCAAAGAGCTCTTGTTTACTGTGACATAGGATGTCTTGCAAGGTTTAAGACTTCACCTGAGCCACAAAAGGTTCTCCCACCCTGCTTTAAAGAAACAAGGAGTGTGAATAGTGTCATGGACACTTCAACACACTACTGAGATTTTCACTCACAACATACTGTATTGAATATGCATATTTCTTACCTCCATTGGTCTGAACTCAACTCTCCATCCAATATCTGAATTTGGTGGGGGTGGCTTAAACCTCATTGTCTGCCAGTTTGTTGACTGAATATTCTACAAGAGAAAAAGTATGCATTATAGCTATAAATTTTAACTGCTTTTCAGAAAAATTAAAACCTCGCATATCCAAGATATTGAAACAACCTGACCTTCAGAAAGTCTTAATAAAGCCAATAAGCTACTAAACTGCAGAATGACACTACCTATTTTAATAAAGCATACAAGAGACCATATACTTTCAGAATACTTCATGCAAAGTAATTCCTATATTTGCTCTGTCTGACTTTTGACTATGGGAATATACAATATCCCAAATACTCATTGTAGGACAGAATAAAACAATAATAAAAGGTCTAAAAAGTTATAGATGCTCAGTAGAATTAAGGATTGTCTGATGCTGGCATCTCCAAGTCAGGTTTGCAAAGAATCTTGCTTGCAAGCCTAGATATCTGTCAGCATTGGCTGGGGCTGGGGCTAGATGGACCAATGGACTGAGTCCACCACAGCTTCCTGTGGGCCCAGCTTGGCATAATGCTCAAATTGTCTTGCCTGAGCTTGTCACCCTGATATCTCCCTTCAATTCTAGGGCAAGGTAATATTTAAGAAGTTCCATAAAAAGTATTTAGAAGCCAAATACTTCCAAACCCCAAGTGTGTGCACAGACATCTCTCAATATTATGTTAAATGTTATTTGAACATAAAAACCATGTGGCTTATTCAGATAATTATAGGCACCTTATAAAGTAAGGGCAGGCTTTGATTTTGCCCAAATCCAGAAACAAATTGGGCCACTTCAGGAGATATCCAAGTTACAGCAGGGATCCCCATAAGTGGACTGAATTCAAATCTCAACACTCCTGAAGATTTGGAGGAACACAGAGACACAGAGTAGACCTTTTGTTAACGTTTGCACATACATTTTTGCAATGTTCCTCTACAAATGTTTTACTTTGCAATTAAACACCCTTGTTTCACTAAAACTGCAGACTTTCTCCTTTTTTCCCTTCCTTTTCAAAGTGTCAGACCAATTATATCAGAGCTCAACTACTGGCTTGTGTTCTGAATAGTTATATATGTGTTACACAGTTATAGCATAAGTTCTTGTGGTACTTCTGCTGGCACCCGACAACTGGAATCAAGAACTTTTGCATCTTCAAAATGGGCAGTGAAGTATATTATCTACTTCCAACATTGGAACACTTGCATTTTAAGGAAAGGTTCATAGTATATTCAACACCATTATGGAGCTTAATTATAAGGAAATTAAAATAAGATAACAACCTCAAAATGGTCAGATTCATTTGCATCATCCAGATGTATTTTCTCTTCAAACAGAGTTAATGGATCACGAATAAATAAGTGAGCAATGTGTTGTGCCAAGAGATGGTCAATGCCTACAAAACCAAGAAGATGGGACATAATCCAGTAACAAAAAGAAAATTGTCCTATCACATATGAAGATTAAGTAAATACATATCTGTGTGTAGTTATTTTACCAAGCATGGTATGAGAAGTAGATAAATTTACACAAACACATGAAATGAAGTTTTTAAATGGATAAATACTTCCTGGATGGTCACTCATACCCAAGAATAGCCTATTGTTCAAGGAAAAGATTTGCTTTCTAGATAAGGCAATCTCTTCTGAAAATTACTTAGCACACACAGTACTAGAGAATTATTATATTTCAGATAAGCTGTTGCTAGGTTAATTACAGGAAGTTCATTCTTAAAGATTATGTCCTGTTCAAACAGAAATTGAATCAGAGGTTTGAAGCCCATCACTGATACAAACACCTACCTTCTTTTATTAGATGCTCGTAGATTTCTTTATCTATTGTCAAATCAATGTCATTGTACTTTTCACCACATTCAGAGAGATAACTATCTATGGAATCATATCGGGATTTATGGATTCTGTAATGGTTGTTCTTCAAGGGCTATGTAATTTAAGAAGAAAAATATCTAGTGCTTATAAGTATTATCTCACAACAGATGCACAGTGAATAATTTTACTATTTTTATTTAAACTGAATTCAAACTGGAAATGTGATTTTTAAGTAGTTTAAGCCTAAATTAAGTTAAAATAATCTTATTCCCTAAATGTATGAAAAGAGGTCACATACTAGGTATATAAGAAGTTATTGGTTTAATATAGTCCACAGCCTACAAAAGGCTATGAATTATACATTGTATAGTTTTTGTCAGATGTACATTCGTCACAAACAGGTCAGATATATAACTAGTTACAATATTAATATAACATTATAATTCAACACACATGAAAAACACCACCACAATAATTATTTAACTCATGTGTACAGACACATACTAGGAACATTTTAAAGTAATTTCAGAAACACTATAAACATAAACTTTATAATTTTGTATAATTTGCTGATATATCTAATTAATGCATTCAATGAATGTGCAAGTTCTACTCTTCTACAGAATTCTACGGTCCAGTTCAATTGTTTCAGCTTCCTAATCCATGTTTTATCAAGCCAGAAATGAGCCTCAGAACTGAGCCTCACAATACGACATCAGTTTTATTTCTGTTGCATTAAGTCTGAGTTCCTCATTATATCCAATGCAGAGAACACTGGTTAAATGTCCATAAACAAGCCAGGACAATAAACAATAGATTATTGTTGCTGGTACCATCATCTGAACTGGATCTATTTAATCCAGGGGTCCTCAAACTTTATTTGCCAGGGGGCCAGTTGAAGGCTGCCGGTGCTGGGCGTGGGCTGGAAAGGTGGTGCCGGTGGTGCACATGGGCCATTGTGGGGTTGGGGGCGGCACGTGCAGACACGCGCACGGAGGTGGGGGCAGGGTGCGCAACAAGGCAAGGTGAGGCATGGGCAGGCGCGCACAGTGAGGGGCGAGGCAGGTGCACGAGGCAGAGGCTTGCTTGCTGGGAAATTGTTTTCTCCGAGAGAGCGAACCGCATGCGGGGTGAGGTGGGTGGCAGTGGCAGATGCATGTGTGGGAGTGGGCGCTGTGGGTCCAAACGGGCATGGTGGGCCGGATCCGCCCCCCAGGCCTTATCTGAGGAGCCATGATTTAATCCCTTTGTTCCATACATTGGATACAGCTTTTATTTGTATTTGTATCCTATTAGCCTCCCAATTTTCGAACAATGGAGTAGCTTCCTGCAGCAGAACAGGAGGATGATTTCTTCACTCCATTCAGCAATCTTGGTGATTTCAAAACTTACCCTGAAGGATTAAAGAGAACTTTCAGGACAGATTTGGTGGGCACAGAGAGGGAAGATATGACGGGAACATCTGATTGTACAAATGGAAGTTTACTAGTGCAAAATTAGATTTTACCTAGGTAGATTAAGATTGATGTTGAAAATATTTAAATCACAGTTGGACACTCCAAGTCCTGCTTACACTGAGAAATGTGACTACTCTGTACATTTTAAGGAGTATTTTATTTATTGAAATGTGTATAGTGACTTAGGACCTGCAAGGCAATTCACAAAATAAAAATAATCCTGCTCTAGAAAAACTGAGAACCATAAAATCACTATAAAAAATTAAACAACTTTAACAGTTGACTAAAAGTTAGTGGTGCAGGAATAAAATGTGGTTGTGAGCACTTAATTCCAAGAGTATTTATTAAACAAAAATGCAGCCCTCATATTTGTGGGACCAAAACTTGAAAACGTGTGAGCCATGGTTAGCTATAGTGGTGTCCTCCAAATGTTTTGGTGCACAAATCCTGCCCCTGGCCAATGCTCATGCTGGTAGAAACTGATGTGACTTTGTAATCAAGAGCATCTGGGTGGCACCATGCTTCCTTACCTCTGATGCAGGCACTGTTCTCAAAAGGTTCAGAAATGAAACATTTTGAAAGATACATATTGGTGTCAAGAGGTGAGATGTGAGTTCTTGCATAACCTGCTCTCCCCAACTATAATCCTCCTTCCATTCTGATTTCACTAACCATCTAAAACCATCATGTAATTTCCACCTTTGATTTATTTTGGTCACTACTCCCCAAGGTGCTCAAATCTTGAAATCAAGATTATCAATGTCACGTATTTAGTTTCTTGTGTTCTAGAATTCTTCAGTAATCTATAAACTTTGGCAGTGCCTCTGATTGTTAGTTCCGAACAGCATCGTTTACCATTGAGTTGATAAGAAGTTCAGGCAATTCTGTATGAGTGAGCAGTCTAAAAATTCTAAGCATGTTTAATAAAGTTTAAGTTTGAAAACTTCACAACTAGAGAGTGTAGAAGAGCTACTATACAGACTGTGACTGCACTAGGGATCACATACCTCTAATCCCCTCTCCTCTCTTGTTCTGTCATCTACGGATGCAGATATTACTCCCCAGCGGCAATCAATATCTGTCACATAACCTCTGTAGAATGGAGCTGCTGCACTTAAAGCCATCTAAAAGAATATTGGAGAGTACACAACACAAAGTGATCAATTTATTGCCATTGAAATCTAAAAAATATTTTGTTCTGAAACACAAGTCACCCAACATGAGAACACTTTTTCTAGGCCATTATTGCCTTACAATATAGTACCTCCCCCCACCCTTTGCTAACAAATGTTATTTTGCACTCCACTTTACATCTTCCAGTCTATTCTTTCTTGCTTCCTAATCTGGCTTGCAGTCTCCCATTAAGTGTGCTCCTGGTGTATATTCTTTTCAGGAAGAAACAAGTGCAGAGGCAGTTCCATTTGGAATATTTACTACTCTGCCCCATTCTGGCCTTCTCCAACTTGGTGCTTTTCAGATGGTCAGTGCCTGCCAACCCTACCTGCCAAGGGCAATGGCTACTGGGCTAGAAAGGCTGCTCCTTTCTATTCCAACAAGCCAGTCATCTGTTTTACATGTGCTACACTCTTTAATTTCAGTTGCTCTCATTTTGGTTTTTTAAGTGGATTGCATCTAAAGTCATCTTTCCACTGGGATAAAAACGGAAGACCATTTTCATTGTTCTGTAACAGAATTCTATAAGAAAAGAATGCTCAAACCCAGAGTGAAAATTCTGCTACAGCAAGACACTGTACACAACTTGCAAACAGTCCCCCAAATCCTCCAGCATTTATGAGTTTGTAAAACTACTGCATGTACACACACTATCCATTTTATGCTCATATTTTCTGTAAAGTATATGAATAAATTAGTATGTGTTGGGACAAAATTCTACCACTCACCACAATGGGACAGATTGTTGCTAGTTGATCATAAAGATATCGTGCTTCAGAAATACTGCAAGCCTGGAATGTTACCTGCAGAACAATAGGAAATCCATCTGAACTGAACAGCAATTGCATGGTCATAGTCACAAATGCTACCAACTTCTAGACACCAAAGATGTAAATGTCGGGTTCACACTAGTATTTTGATCCATCACAGCACAGCTCCTTCGATCCTGATATAGCAGGTGGGAAAACTTAGCAAAGAGATTTAGCTTTGAGCATAATTTTCGAAGAGCTCCTCTGTTTGGGTATACAGGTTTCAGCCCACTCCCCACCTCACACATACAGTTACACTCAACTCTTATGGCTAAATTAGAATACCAGAAAAAATAATGATTTACAAGATTCATTTAGCAACTGCAGTCTGAACATCCAAACAAAAAGTCAAGCCACTGATTCCACGTGCTTCTCTGATTTGTCTTCCATATATTTAGCACTTTCATTTTTAATTTAAAGTTAGATTTCTGTGTTTCTTTTGTTCCCAAATGCAATGTGTATTCTATCCCTCAAACAGATTTCCAGGGAAGCTTATAAAATTAAAACAAATATACAAATATTAGAGCTATAATCTTATACATACTTACCTCAACTCAAAACTATTGAACTTAGTACAGACTAAAAGCACAAAGATCCGCAATCTAAAAGAAGCAATATAAGAATTTCAGAGCAATCAATATTAAAAGGTCTTTACAAGGCATCAAGTTGACAACAACATCAATGCCAGGAAAACTAGCCCAGGAAGAGTTTTTCGCAACCAGTGTGTAATTCATATACACCTTCCACACGGGAGCACAGAGAAAAGCTTCTGAATAATGTACCAAAAAGCACACATCATGATTCTTCTGGAACACTGGACTGAAACCTAGTTTACATTTTCCTAACTAAGGGAGATTTGGTAGACTTAGCTGTGTTAAAAATATATCAGTAGTTTATCAGTTTCAAACTCGTAGGCCAGATGGAAAGAAGTGAAGAAAAAGAGAATAAAGGAAATTTTTAAAAATAAAAGGAGCTGGGATGTGAGTTAATATTATATAGCAGCTTTACAAAAAATGTAAGCATGATTATTGTATTGCTACAGCATTTATTTGATAAATTTACCTGAAGGCAACAATTGCCCATTCCAAACCCCATGGCATCCATATATACATGGTCAGGCTTGGCTGCTCTTGCTGCTTCACCATCATCATTAGGGAATGTTTCTATAAATGGTGATGGAGTATTCTTGTCCTTAAATACTGCATAAAACATGTTGACAAGAAGTTAACTCTGTTGCTAAGTGTTTTCTATGTTTTGAAACAAATTGTTGATTGACTCACTTGGTACATTTATCACTACTTTTTCTCCTCTTCTATGACGAATGTTTCTTGTTAAAGTACTAAAATGAAAAAGAAGCTTTCTGAATTTTGTTTCCAAAAAGAGCAATATTCACACATGCATTAGAGGCTAATATTTTTTATTCAGACACACGTTTTAAATGCTTTTGAACACCCAACTGGTATCTATCTTTATGCCCAGCCATGACAGAAAACCATGGTTGTATTTGCATTACTTCTTCATTCAAAGAATCCTTTGAATCATCAATGTTATTTTGATATAGTCATTGTTAACAGCCTGTAGAAATCAGAGAAAGAAAATTCAAGCAACAAAGCTTATTGTTTACACTATAACATAAAACTAGCTGCTGCAATGGTCAGCAAGAGGCAACTAGGTAAGTGGGAGAGGTGAAAGGTGTCCACAGACTTCCACAAAGGCCTGGCTTATTCTTACAATGTAAGTTCTGCTCCACTATACCTGGCATGATTGAACAGAGACGACTTGACTAATACAGACCCAAGTATAAGTGTGCCCAGTTTAAAATCCTCTGGGATAGGAGGAAAACAAATTATGAATTCAGAACTATCTATTCCTAGTGTAATTCAGCCTTTCCCAAATGTAAATAAGCTGAAACAGTACCAATAAAAGAGCAACCAAAAAATTTCTACATATACCACTGATCAAAGAAGTGTGGCTAATGTAAACTATAAAGGTGAAAGAGTTTGCAAGTTTATATGCAAAGTATATTACATCCACCCTGATTTTCAAAAACACCAGTTATACTCATGAACTTCATTTCCACTCAATGGGAAATATTTTATGACCATTGTATGTGTGTATAGAACAAACAAATTTCCTTACTTCTAACATACTTACCTAAATCTAGGATGTTTGTTGATGGCTTGATCTGGAAAAAAGAGAGATTTGGAGGCCCCTGTTTCAACAGGTGTTGGATCATATTCTGGTATTGTGAATCCTGGACAGCCTAATCTATGAATTCCAAACAAATTGTGATTAAAAATCTTCCTAATTAAATCCTAAATTACAAATGAATAAAGTCTTATTTAGCTAAGTTTAACAATATTATTAGAAACATGTCTGAATGAAGCTAAAACCAAGTACATTTTTAAAAGAAGTTTAAAAGCACTGTGTGCTGCCCCACAAATAGCAGGCAAAATATTCACAGGTACCCTTTATCTAGGCACTAGTTTACAAACCAATAGGAGCCCACAGATTCTGGCTAGCTTTGTTCCTGCCTCAGAATTGGATAGGAGTTACCCAGTACTGGCTATCCTCCTCCTTTTGAGTAGAAAGACGCTTCATGGTTGATCAAATAGTCTTGTTCAGTTTTCTACTTTTGGTGAGTGCACTGGTTAAAAAATGTCAAGAATCAGTTTTACTCTCTTGCTTACATTTAAATCTTTTGCTCTTCTCCCAGATGTTGCAAATTTATTTAGCAACTTTAACTAAGAAAGGGGAGAGAATATACCCTGGAGAATATAACCCTGGGGGAACATAACACTGTTGGTTTTCTAGGATTTAGATACCAGTAGCTATTTTTTTATGATGCCAGTAATTATGGTGTCCTATGGGATTATGCATCTGGATTGGGATTAGGAGACAAGTTTTACCAGTTCTGGTCCTTCCTCAAGACACTGTCTCAGTAGATAGGGTTGGCCATTAGTTTACGAGATGCCACAGGTTCCCCATGTTTTTTGTCATCTACATGAACCCATTGGGGGAATCATCTGGAGCTTTGGGTTGAAGTGTCATCACAATGTGGAAAATGTGGGGGTGTACACAGCTCTAGTTTCCATCTACACATCACAAAATGGCTGTGGATCTCCTGAACTGGTATCTGGAGACAGTCTGGGGTGCATGAATAGGTAGAAGTTGAAGCTTCATCCAGACAAAACTGAAGTATTGCAAGGGGGAATCAACTATGAATAAAAGTTTACAACTGGTCATAATCTGGGAGTCATCCTTTATTCTGGAGAAGCTCATGTACTTGTAGTGGCTTAGGATGATAAAAAGTTATAGCTCACTCTGGAAAGTCCTTGACCCACTTATGCATATGTTTGTAACACCTAAACTGGAGTACTGTGATGTGTTTTAGATGATTTTTCATTTGAAATCTTATTCTGACATTTTGACTGGTGCAGAATGTGGTCAACTGAATATTGGTGTGAACAGGGAAGTCAGATCATTTGATACCCATACTCTACTAGCTGCCCTTGTTACTATTGGGCTTTTTCCTGTATGAGCCTGCCTGTATTCTGCAAGCAGCAACAAAGGCCATTCTCACTGTCACTGATGAGAAAACTTAAGTGGATGAATACAAGGCAGAAGGTCTTTTCCATGCGGCTTCTATGCATCTGGAGTAATCCATTAGGTCCAAACTGGGATCCATTAGGGATCCATTAGGTCCGAACTGGATTATTAGAGAGAAAAAGTCATTTGGTGGGTTTTTTTGGGGGACGGAGGTTATTATATTGTTGGTTTATAGTTGTGGTAGTCTGTAAGCCTGCAGGCAGGAACTGTCTAATTAACTATAGGCTGCACTGGCAATATTTTCCGGACTAAGGAATGGCATAAAAACATCTTAAATAAATAATTTATAGATAGAATTGTGTATTAGACTTTAGTACTTCATTGAATGCTTAGGATTATTAGTAGCATTCATGGGTATATTGTTATTATTAATAAACCAATAAAGCCAAACTTAAGAGGCCTTTTGCCTTTAAAGGTAATCTAAAAATACTTTAAATAAAATTAAATGTAGTGCAATACTAAAATAAAGATGGAATTATTTACAGAAAGGAAAATGTCCTTACATTTTCAGAAAACATGCAGTTTAGGAAATGTTTGCAATGACAATGTATATACAAATGCAACTAAATGGCAATGACACTGACACTAGTTGGAAGTACCATAAGGTACTTTCAATAATTGTTTCAGTTATACAACCTTCATTTGGTTCACAACCATCTTTGAACAATTCTGTTTTCACATCATATTAGAAAAACAGAGTAACCTTGGAAATGAGGTCACAGTGCAAACAGCTTCATTTTTTTTCAGTACAGAAGCAGCTTCTTGACGTCGTTTTCTCATGTTGTCTTGTACGGTGTTAAATTCAGACATTGTTCCTCCATATGGCTGTCCAGGAGTCCCTTCAATCATGTAACTTCCATATTCAGGTCTCCACAGAGTTGGATGGCTATGAGACAATTAACAATACAGTTTTCTACAACAGCAGAAGCAGAACACAATTATGACCATACATTTATTACAGGAAGAAGTGTAGCATGGAATCAGCCAAACTCTGCCAATAACTTATGACAGCATAGGGAACTCCAACCAAACTGGACCACTTTGCCAAAAACGTGTTATGTTCATTTTGAATTTATAGAGGAACTGGGACATTTTCATTCCTAATTATTTCAGAAATTGTACAACTGCATGTTGATCATAGATATGAAAATATGCATTGATCTCTTATGCTACCCCCAGTAAACTTCTGGTATTGAAAATTCTTTCAGTGGAAAGTTGCAGAGAGTGGTCCACAGGGATGTGCATTCAGACCAATACTTTTGAACTTACTTATACATGATCTGGAATTAGAAATGAGCAGTAAAATGATAATATCAACTTATTTAGGATAATAAAAAACAAAAAGAGATTGTGAGGAGTGTTGGGCACCCACTTCCTTATCTCCTTCCAAGCAGATCAAGACAAGAGGCTTCTAACTACACTGTTTATTATGTTAACATGGCAGTCAGACTGGCTTTGTCATACAAAAAGGAACATTTGAGGAGGTCTTCCACTAAGTTAGAAAACAAGTTAATTAAAAAGAGATTACTGCTCATGTGTCAAAAAAGTGACAGTTTATGACTGAGTATGTGTAAAACATGTCATGGCTGAGATATAGACTAATTTGTACATCCCTAGTACATACAGGTTAGAAAGTCCTGAACTTCATAAAATTCCTGTGTAATTCTAAGAGCAGCTGCTACTTACTTTGGGTTTACCATTTCACCCTTTTCTTGCAAAGTGTGAAGAACTTCTTCGCCAGTTAAGGACAGCTGAGCTCTCTTGTTTTTATGGTCAAAAGCTACCAACATGTATTCCACCTAATATACAACATAAAAACACAATACAATGTTTAGCATGCTACACTGGAAAACATCAAAACAGAATCTAATGCAGCAGACTAGCCATCCAGTCTGTCATTTAGTTTCATGATAATATTCCATAGGTGGGAATATTGTTAGAGTATATATTTTGACTTTCATATATCAGATTACCTAGCTGTAATTCTCTGAAGAGCACAATAAACAACCTGAATTTCTTTCCAGGCAAATAAGTCCAGCTTGTTCCATTGCCTTATTTCTAAACATTCAATTGTAATGTATGTTATCACTTTACAGAGCTATGCAAAACACATAATTCAAAGAAAAGGAATACTGCTTCTTTACAGGTACACTGGCCAGTCAATGAAAGGCCTATTCTATTTCCCTTACAAAAAAACAGGCAGGCTATATCAGAACAATTCTGCAGAACCATGTGACACATCACACCTGGCTAGATATAACCAGGTAATTGCGTAGCTTTTATGTGCAAGCTCAGCTGAAGAATTTGTCTTTCTTTCTTTCTTTCTGCCATTCACTCTTTATTTGTAGTGGAACAGCCTACTCTAATCAGTGTCATGTGGTTGACATAACTAAAGGATGTGCAATACAGGAAGCAGGGTTTAGACTGACTATGGAGAACTAAACCTAGAGATTATAGTCATTTGTACACAGCTAAAGAAAAAATATGTCAACAGATTAGAAAACAAAGAATACTTTTCTTCCAACAGTATACCACAGAGCAGGTTACTATAGAATGGGGTACGAAAAAGTCATGTTTACTATGTTTAAACATATCAACACCCAACAGACTTTGTCTGTTGTGATGCATCTTCTTGTTCTATTTTATATCAGATTTGATTATGCTACAAGTTGTTTTCCCTTTTGGTTTCATGAAAAAGATAACACTACCTTCCTATCTGACTCTATTATACTGTTTACAAAGTTTTCAGCCAAACCATGTTTATTCTCAACCAAAATCTACTAAATTAAATGGGACTTAATTACTATACATATACTATAGATCACAACCACCCAACCTATGGAAGTCCAGACACAGAGAGCTGGCATTTCAGAAAATAACCTGAAAGTCTAATTCAAAAGTATGTTTGTATTTAATTATGTCACGTAAGAAATGCTAGGCATTATAGGCAGAAAATTAGAGAACCTTAACCGTAAGGTACATTTGTCTCTTCCTGGCCATCTAGAAGCAAAATTACCAGAAGTTTCTTGGTCAGCCTAGGACAGAGCACAAGCAGGAGAATTCACAATGAGACAGTTCTGGGGTGTACAAGGTCTGCCTCAAGTTACTACAACAGAGAAGGAAAGGACCTTTTCATTGCTTACAAGAGCATCCCCGTGGCGAGTTTAGTTCTGTTCTTTGCCTAATTAAAAATTCGCTACACCATTCCAAGCACAAGTCATTAAAAATGAATTAGACTAGTTTTCCAAAATGTCTGCCTCTTCAGCTGTACCATCTAGCAACATTTCCAACCACAACAGCTTTGCTAACACAAGATGGCGCTTTACTCCAGCCTCCTAAATACTGTCTTATTTTGTACATGAGTCCTTCTTCTACACTTACTAGATCAAGTGTGGCAGCATGGCCACACTCTGTATGCTATGTGTTGAGCCCCCTTCAAATGAATGGTACATGAAGAAAGCTCACACCACTCAAAACAATCATGCTGTACTTGACAGCATCAACCAGAACACTTACAATAAAAACAAGCTGTCTGCTTTAAGTTTCAATATGTGAAGCATGAGTCTGCAGAAAGGTTGAATGACTTTCAACATAAGATACTATAAGTCATCACAAGATGTTTATTGGTTCAGAAAGACTAAGCTATATCCTTCCATAGGCTCAGTGCCTCAACAGTTAAAAAAAGCCCCTCCCTTTTCTTCATTCTGTGAATGCAAACAGTGCCAGAAATAAACCTGAAAATGTTTTCATTTATATTTCACTTCCCTGTTCTATTAACTTTCGTGCTGTTGTTGGTGTTGTTGTTGTCGTCGTCATTTAAAAATAAACCTTCCACTGCAAGAGTTAGAAAATAATTGAGACATTTTATCGGGAAGGACAGCGTAAAAAATGTTTTAAATAATTAAATGAATACACTCCAAATATCTGATTAATTTATCTGGCAATGTTCATTAGTTATTCTATAGGAAATCTCTTCATCAAACATACGAATATGATTTAAAGAAAAACCTGAGGGGCTTTTTGTTTTCTTCTCTAAAGAGAAATGCACCATGGACTTCCCACTGTGTAGAGTGTATCCCCCTGCTCACAGAAGAAACTAGGAAAGGCCCTGAACACATAGAACTATCCATGAACACCAAAGCCAGAATACTGTGCCTGTTGGGCACAATCCTTAAAAGAGAGTCATTAATGTTTCTATAGGCTGGCAAATAACCAAAATCAGAATAATAGCTTCTCTGTGGGGAAAGGCATTCATGTTTCTTTCTACAGTTGGTCAAAAGGTTTGACAATGCAGTGTTCATCATAAAGCCTCAATGTGCAGGCTGGAAAGATGCTCACAGATCTTTCCAAAGCGTAAACAAGCGTAGAACCTTTTACTGAGTTAAGATTTTAAAAATGAAAGTAACTTATCTAAGATAGCATTAATACATTACTCACTAACATGTGATTTTAATTGCATAACTGCATCCTTCTGTTAGGTTTTTACAAGAGCTTAACATTTTTAAAACAAGTAAACACAACATATCTAATGTTGGACAGTTTTAGAACAGAGGGGCCAGTGGTCCAAATGATGACTAGAAATGTTAACTGAAATTTCAACCTATGTAAATAGTAACACGAAACAGAGAATTTAAGGCATGATACAACCAATATTTTGTTATGTGGTTTCACAGGCTGGAGATTCTGGTCTTACTGAGCACATGAATCTGGAAGTCAGTCTCGCAGAAATCATGGCCCTGATCTGAGTAAATAAAGGCTACAATCAGCAGGATTTTTAGAAGATGCTGCCTAAACTGGAAAAAGCCAAGCTCCTAGTGAAGTGAAAGTGTAACTGGCAATAACTGACAAAAAAGAAATAAGAAGCAGTTTCAAGTAGATGATGGGAAAGTCTGCCACAAATCTCCTGCTACAGGAGGAACTTAAGTTATTAACTTAAGCTATGAATTGGTGCAAACAGGAGCACAGCTGTGGGTAAAATTTACATAGCATGTAGACTGTACAGAGTTCTCTTTACTTACAAGCATGAACAATTAAAGGTGAGGATCAGACAAATGAGGCAAGGTGTAGAAATTCTTTAAACCTGGGAGACTGCTAAACCATGATTTTGGAGTCAAACACAGTAATGGAATATTTCCTTTAAATTAAAGAGGATCTCTTCAATTTTTTAACAATAATGAATGCTTTTTAAGTAGATAAGGTATAGCTAAAAATAGAGAAAATATATTAAATTCATGAAAACACAGAACTGAATGAAATGCAGACTATGCTACTTGAAAGAACAAATGTGGAAGGAGTTATGATTTAACCAGAGGGAAGAAAATGGCTTCATAATTTGTGCAACATAGCTATATACACAATATCCATGTCAAAGATTTTTGAATTTATACTGAACTAACAAGGGAATTATATAAAATAATCATTTTTCTGGGCGAAAAGAAAGTTGAGCATGCAATCGTATGGGCTAAACAGAACTTTCCAATCTCAAAGGCTTCCAAGTATCCAATAGGGTGCCCTGCCATGCCATTGCTGCTAGGATGGAAAGATGAAGACAATTTCCACCTGTTTCTTTTTTTTATTCAAACCTTTGAGCTAGCCTAGAGGATGTGCATTGGGGGGGGGGGGAGTGAGTAAGGGCTGAACAGACCATGAGATTTCTTTTATCCTGGACCCTTCCCAACCTTCCTTCTGAGACACTGCCTTTTTCCTCCCTCTGAGACTACATTTGTGGCTTCAGGAAGCTGCCAATTCTTTCTGTGGCAGCTGCAAGGGATGGGGGACTGTTTTTTACAGTCTGTATCTGTGCTCCACCCAGGAGCCCAAAGAATCATGATCCCTGGGACACTCTTCCAGGATGATAGAATTACTTTTTTTTTTTTTTTTTGCTAGTTGCTAAGTCAAGTCCGACCCTTTGCGACCCCATGGACAACATTCCTCCAGGCCTTCCTGTCCTCCACCATCCCACAGAGTCCGCTTAAGCTCACACCAACTGCTTCAGTGACTCCATCTAGCCACCTCATCCTCTGCCGTCCCCTTCTTCTTTTGCCATCTATTGTTCCCAGCATTAGGCTCTTCTCCAGGGAGTCCTTCCTTCTCATTAGGTGGCCAAAGTATTTGAGTTTCATCTTCAGTATGTCAAAAATATAACATAGATGTTGTCATTTTGAAGTTAAAATAAGATTTCAAGACAACATTTCTAAAATGAGAAGAAAACTCAAAATAACATTAAAAAAAAAAACCTGCCTAAGTTATCTGCATGTATGATAGAACATAAATAGGTTGTGAATCACAAAAAGGTTGAGAACCAACAAAATGTCTTTTAAAAACATACTGTTACTATTTGAAAGCATTAAAATAAAAACAACTGTTTTCATTTCATAACAAAGGCTAAATGTGGATAAATATGCCCCTATTTAAGCTGGGCATTATAAATCCTCAAAAAATAGTTCCTTAAACAAAGAATAAAAGCCTTTGACTGAGAAGCTAGTACTTGTTTGAAGTATAGCTCCATACTAAGTTAGCCTCAAGGCACAAACTATTACTAAAATCTTTTAAATTTTACATGCTCAGCATCCCCCCCCCCCTCGAAATTTAACTGACAGAGCTCCATAGATTATTTTTGGTCTTTTACAATGGGCATATTCACATGACACATTAAGCCCCCCTGCAAACAGGCTACATAGTGTGAGCTGTTCACCGAACAGCCCATGGCCTGCCTGACAGATAATGAGGCTCATTACGCCTTGTTCTCCCCCTCTACTTTTCATTCTTCCAAGCTGTCTCACTCTCCCCACTCCAATCATCACCCCTTTCTATTTGCTGCCATTTCTTTTTCCACAGCCCCAACAATATGCAATGGACTTTTTTTAATGGTTTGGTCCAAGGAATCTGCGCAACTGCACACATTTAAAAAAACAAACAATTATTAATATCGGTCTTACCCAAGTGTGTGGCTTTCTGCTATGTGAGTCCTTCCTAGTCAATTTCCTTGTATGCTTGGACTGTCCATAAAAGCAGCAAGTAAATGACCAGGTGAGACTGCACAGCTGCCTGGCTGTCAACTGAAAAGGCACTGGTAAATGGAAAAAAGCTGAGAATGTTGGTGCACCAAAAAGAGGGAATGAACAGTATCACCCACAATTTAATTAATTTGATTTTAATTGTGGAATGGGAACCACTGTAACCACTGCAGCAGGAACTGCTCTTTTCAGACCACCCCCTCTCCCCCCAAAAAAGCAGAAGGGGAAATTAATATCTCTCCTTTCTATAGTGCTTGGAGACCTGGGAGGTATTGAAAAGATGAAGGGCATGAGAATTGTTGATTCAACACTTAAAAACAAGAAGGATAAATTGCTAATGAAGTGCTATTATCCTCCCAACTCAACTTTTCCCTTTTATAGGTATTTTTCAACTGACAGCTAGACAACTGACAGGCAATGGCATGCACATTTGCCCATACACAATCTTGCTTTGTCAATCTGTTACCTACTTCAACTTCACTGCCTTCTTTGACACCTGAAACTGGCAAGAAAACAGACAAATCCTAGTGCCAAACACAATTACACTTTTCTGGGGATGGTTTTATTTTCAAGGCAGAAAACAGTGAGGGTTACTGCAAAGCGAATAGGCTGTCACTGGTAGTGGCAAAGGTGAATTTGCAAAGAGCAGCAGAGGTCTTTGCTCCTCTTGCCAACTGACTTGGTAAGTGGATCCTCATAACCCACAATGAAACTGCTCTGCTTGGCTTGGATGTCACAGGAACTCACTGTGGGTAGTGAATCAACTAAGAATGCAATCCTATACAAATTTATCTAGGATAAAGTCCAAATGAATACAATGAGCCTTGCTTCCAAATTAACATGCATAGGACTGGGATGATTATATGACAAGACAATAGCATCTTGAAATTTGCCCTTGCATTGTAGCATAGGGAAAGGCAATCTAGTGCTCTCCTCATGTTTTGTATTATAAATCGCATCAGCTCCAGCCACCACTGCCAACTGTGAGGAATTATGAGATCTGTAGCCCAAAAACCCTCCAGGGTTCATGCTGGACAGAGCTTAAATATGTATATCAGGCAAACATAGCCTAATATACATGGATTTAATGAAACAGAGAGAAAATGAGAGCTACAAATGTAGTTACAATTAAACTAATATCCTTAGTTCAATTCAGGTAAGACCTGTTGGCACCTGTTAATCTTGACTACAAACATTGCACTTCTCTATTTATGCCCCAGGGCAAGAATACACTTCAATTGTAATAGTATCTAACATATCTCTTTCCTTGACAAGATATAATTTACATATATAGAAACACAGTGAGTCACAAGGACTCTCCCAGGTCACCCAGTCTGACCCCTGGCTCTGGGCTGCTGTACTCATGTAAAATCCAACATATGGCTGTCCAATCTTTCCTTGAACACACTCACTGATGGGGCTGCCACCACCTCCTGTGGAAGCTCATTCCATATCCTACAGGTTCTAATCATCAGGTCATTGATATAATGTTATTACATATTATATGCAAACTTTCAAGATTTATTCTTTATTAAGATGTAAACAAGCTTCATGTAATTAAGATGTAAACAAGCTTCATGTAAGCGAGCTTGCAATTCCATATCTATCTATACTATTAAAAACTGATTTTAAGAGAGAGGATATTTTTGCATACAGATGATCTTAGATTCAATACTAGGCATCTGCAGGAGTGGATGGTTAATTCTCCCATGTAAAACTGAATGTGTGTGTGGACAATACTGAACTAAACTAGATGTAAGATAACATCTTGTTTCTGATCTTCTTGAAGTTCAAATCCCTGAAAATGAAGGAAACCTAAAAATTTCTTGTTAAATCCTTTGTATCCTCAAGTGAAATTGGAAAAGGCCAAAAGCATAGCTTTTTCTGGAAATAAAATCAAACTTACATAGGCTTGAGTTTTTAAAAGCAATTAACAAAAAGGGATTTTGGATGTCATTCAACAGAACAGCTCTTTATGGGCATTCATGTTCAATTTCTGTGAAGTACCATGACCCTAGGCATTACAAGTCTGGAAATGCTTAATGAAAACTATCTGTAACAATGTTTAAAATGATGATCATAGGCATGTTTGTTACAAGACTGTATGGATTTTTTTCGAACATGCATTTTTTTTAGCATACTTCAAATGCAGTTCATACCTGCCATAAGATTCAACTGATTAGAAAATTCTGAAAATCATGTAGTCAAAGCATTCAATATTCTACTCTCCATACTCTGTTTTGATTTTGATATAACTATGTAGGGAAGAGGATTAATGAAAAATAAAGGGCAAGAAAAAATTGGCATGTTATGTGCCACCAAGTTGTCTCCAATTCACGGCGATGCTATGAATGAATGCTCTCCAAAATATCCTATATTACTACAATTACTTTACCAGACACAGTCTACTAAACATCAGCTGCTGGAACACGCTGGCCTCAGACATATGCTTGGCTTTATTTTACAGTTTATATTACGGGTGGCACTAACTGCTGCAAAAAATATAGACCACTTCAGTAATTGTAAACTTTAACTACTGCAAAAACTGTACCATGGAAAAGCACTGACTTGAGAGAAAGTCACACATATAACCACCTATACCATGCCCCTTCTATTACTGAATCCTTTATGAGAGGAGATTGTACACAGTGATACCTTAAATTACCACTAACATACTACTATAGCTCATTAAGTAGTAAACAAGCACTATACTTGTTCATCATAGTGTAGGAAAATATGTAAAAGCGCATGTTTGTAAATGATGCTAAGGTGTTCTTTCCATAGTGAAAGCAATATATTGATGAAAAATTGGAAATGGAAGATGACACTTTAAAACAGATGCCAATACAGGTTTTATATTTCAACTGGAAAGGCAAAAACCTGCAAAGCTGCTTGTGGAAATGGCCTGAGATCAGTGCCTATCAGCAGCTGCTGCTGAACTTCGCACCTCTCCGCGTGTATGTGGATTAACTCTCACACACTTTATTTAGCAGTAAACTCCACTTTGTCAATGGAGCGCATTTCCCGTTCAACACGCAGAGCGTCGCGTTATTGGCCGAAGCGGGCACGCTCCTCCCCGCTTGTTCCAGGTCCTGCGAGGCAAGGTGACAGCGGCCTACCTCCCAAGGGTGTTGGTCGTATAAGGAAATTCCGAAAGCAACAATACCCTCCGGCGGTGGAAACAAAAGGAAGTCGGCGGAAACGCGCTCCCGGAGAACGTGACGAGTTCCCCTCCGCGCCTGGAGCGTTCCCGGAGCACCCCTTTGTTTCCTGGCACTCACCTCGTCCCCCCACTTCAGCACGTCCTTGTGCCTCTCCCCGACCGCTCGGTAGATGTGCAAGAACTGGAGGATGCCGTGCCTGCGCACGTGCTCCGCGTGCCGCTGCGTCTTCTCCCAGCTCAGCGGGGAGCCCTGCGACAGGAGGCCCATGGCCCTCGGGCGAGAGGGCGACCAGAGCCGGGGAAGCGCGGCGGGAGCGAAGGCGCGACTGCGGGCAAGGAGAAAGGCGGCGGCAGCGGCGCCGGCCGCCGTAGCTATGGAGGGAAAGGCGGGCGGTCACTGACAAGGATCACTTCAGGAGGTGGCAGCGGGAAGGACGGAAGGAGAATCCAGCCGCGCGCACCAGACGAGGAAGGGGCACTACTTGCCCCCTCAGCCCTTCCCGCCTCCGCGGCTGCCGCAAGAATGGAGCGGGCCCCTCTCGCTCGCGCGCCTTACGGCTGCACGGAAACCGGGAGACCGCCGAGGAGGCTGGCTCGTCTCTACGCTCACAGCGAGCGGTGTGCGATGGTAGTGGTGACCGTCCCGGCAACAGCGCAGCACGTGATCAAAGGGAGGCGTGGCCATGCGTGCGCGCTTTCTCTCTGGAGCGCGCGAGAAGGAGACGGGGTCGGGGGGGGGGATGGAGGAAGAAGGAAGAGTGGAGGCGACGCTGCGAGCGGTGACTCAGCACTTTCCCCGGCTCCTCCCCCCCCCACCCCGCGCCTTCCTAACGGGCGTCGCGGGGGGACCTGCCGTTGCTCGCGCTTTTCGTCGCTCGCGGTCGCGGCCAGAGCAAGAGGGGTTATCAGGAACTGCCCTTAGTTCTTTCTAATGTAATCAAAAGCCTACGATTGGTAACAAATAATAATTCGTCGTCGTTGTTGCTGTTGCTATTAATCTCCTGCTTGGTAGGGTCCTTCCAAGGCTGCCCAGAGCCAAACCCAAAAGCAAGAATAAAGCCATTCACACACACACACAATCGACTTAAAATACATAACTATATCAGAAAGATAGTTGTGATTGAAGCAAAAACCATTCATTCCGGTATGAATGATTCCGGAAAGAAGGTGGGAGGAGCTCAAAAACCAATAACAAACAATAAGCTGCTGGGCTATTGGGAAAGGGAAAGGCGCAAAAGTTACAGGACAAGCCATTTAATATAGAAAGGCGATTTCGATTCAACTATAAGCATGAAGCCAACGTGAAACCTGTAGGCCTACGGGGGGGGGGCTTATGAATCCTTATTTGCATATGCCAAGCACAGCTTTGTGCTTGGAGTAAAGAGATGAACTTTGTACCTGGTATACAAGAACAAACATGCCTTTTTAAAAAGTTGTGCACATCGAAGATAATGTTTCAGAGTCAGGGTGTGGCAGAAGGCCTGTTAAGAGAAAGTACAAAAGAAAAACGGCCCTCAACAGTTCTGTTCCGATTTATTGCATACATATAACCTTAGGTCATCACGGTATAAAACAGGGAAGCAACATATAATAAGAACAGAAAATACTAACTAAATTGGAACCATTAAGAAATTATTCCATTAAAACAGGCAGTTAACCCAACAGAAAAAATGTATTACGAAGCGTGCAATCCTACACATGCTTAAATGTAGAAAGTCCTGAACCTTATAGCATTCGCCAGCCAGCACTCTCCAATTATAGGATTATTTTCTATCTGAACATATATAGAATTCCCCTCAGGTCTAGCTCCAGCAGTTCCAACCCTAAATTTAAAGTTCCATTATGTTCCACTTTGAGTTATTAAGCAGCTGCTGATGGGAGCTATTCAGAAATAATACCTTTTTCCCTGCTCTGGCTGAGAAATGGAGACTCTCAGGGACAAGGAGAGGAAAGATCTTTTCTCGGATCAGCTGCTGATCAGAGTTTAGACCTTTTACTTACAAAGAGGAAGTGATCTGGAAAGAGGGTGGTGGATCAGATGAGAAACCCCCATGGAGCTGAGTTTCTGTATTCCTAAATTAAATCTGTAGATGCATGACAATTGAGTGATTAGATTTATTTTATGCATTAAATGAACTTACATGTTGTTCTTTAGTACAAAATTCTCAAGGTAGCATTTCATTCATTCAATAAATAAATACACTGGGCAGATACATTTACAGCTATGATGGATTCTTTGCTTAGTGCTGAGGGCAATACAAGTCGGCAGTCTACTAGCAGTCCTTTGCCTGAGTCAGAGAGCATTCCTCTTTGCTATGGTGGAACTGGGTTAACCAACCCTTTTTTAGATCCTTGAGTGCACTCGGGAATTTGAGAAAATGCTGTGGGTCCAGCACAAATATATTATCAGTGGGTCAATTCTTTGGTATCGACAGATGTCTGCTGTACCTACCTGCTGTATCTGTAGACCATAGGTCACATCTTACTCTGCAAAACCTTTTGTTTCTTGACCTCTGGATGTCACAGAATCTCTTTAATAGGGGATTGTCTATTTCAGCGAATAGCTAGAGATTAATACAACTCATGCTTCTTTTAAACATATGTTTTGGTGAGGTGGTTTTTGAGGAGGTTATTTCAAAGATAATTTTTGTACTGGAACAGTCTTTAATATTCACTGATGTACATGTACTTTTACATTATTTACCTACTTCATGGACATTAACACATGGAAGGGGAAAGTGCTTCTCTGTACCCTTTTGTCAACTAGAAGATTGATATTACGACACTGCAAGGATAAACACCTCCGACAATTTAACAGTGGATTCAGGACAGTATAATGCTTTCTATATATGAATGGGTGGCATAGATTCTACCTTGAAATGGATACTTACTTGGATATGTGGTCTGCTTTTGTTGAAACCTGTGTATCATTGCTGGAAGACTGTATGCATTTCATGCAGATTATATTAGTATATTTTAACAGAATAATAAGAACAACAACAGTCTCTGGACACCATGTTGGCAACCCCTTTGTGGGTGCCATTGGAGGTATGATAAGCACAGTGTTGGAGATTCATGTTATAAAAAGTCCGTTGTGAGTCTAAAACAGTAACTGCCTTAAACTTTTAATCTTGGCAAAGCACTAACAAAATGTTAGACAATATAATAATAAACATCGTAGCTCTCTCGAAGGGTCATTGTAGAATTCTTGTACCAGAGTCTCAAAAGTCTGATTTATTTATTTATTTTCATTCCTAAACTTTCTAATAGCTAAAAATGATGCAATAGAGACAATAAACATTCCGTAAACTTTTATAAAAAGAAACATAAACATTATAGCAGCTAAATACATACCCTGAAGAATAACCCTGTAAAAGGAAAACGCCTGGGATGGATAACTCCCCTCAAGCCCCAGGATAACCAAGTATACCTTTAAAACCTTTGGGTTAAAGGGCCATCTTAACCTGGTGCCCCATAGATGACAAGGTTGGTGCCAGGTGGGCCCCTGTGGGGAGCTCATTTCACGGATGGGGGAAAGCACTGTGGGAGCCCTCCCTCTTGTTGCTGCCCTCTGAGTCTCCCCTCAGAACTGGCTCTCAGAGGAAGGCCCTGAATGTTGTGCCTGAGTAGACTGCAGTTGCGGGAGCTGCTCTGTCAAGTACTGAAGTGGAAGTCAAATTCCAGTGAGGAAGGAAAAGTCAAAATTCTGGTAACAGCTGACTATCTAATGTGATCCAGATTATCTAGTCTAAATGTTCTGCACTTAGTATAATCCTATGCATAAGCTACATGGTATGAAATGGAGCTTTCTCCCAGGCAAGTTTCCATAGAATGGCAGCCCTGCAGCATAATTTTATTCATATTATTTTAGAAGTAAATCCACAGTGTTTGATGAGACTTACTCCCCAGGAGATATGTTAAAGATTGCAACCTAAATCCCGCTTATAGTAAAGCTTATAGCAGAGGCTGCCACCACCCAAGAATGTATGTAAACACCTTTTCTTTGAGTAAGAACACTGTGACAAAGGTAATAAAGTGATTACATGCCAGTTATGCAATGTCGAAAGGCCAAAGAAAGAAAGAAAAGAGCCATGTCATCCTGACAGAAAAAAATTGCAGTGCTTTCTTAGCTACAGAATTATGAATTAATCTAATATAACTCACAGCTTTTATTAAGGATTTCAGGCCAACTTTCAAAGTCCCTGGAAACCAACAGCTGGTGTTGTCTCCTGAAAACCCACCAGCCCCACCTCAACTGGACATCGGAAATCAGGAGATAAAAGCTAGTTTGTGGGAGGTATTGTATATAATTAGGGGACAGCACTCTCTGTAAACATCTGAAGTAGTCTGTCCAATTATTTAATTCATACTACATTTTCTCCATGATGGACTGCACAATTTGTACTTTCTGTTTCAGATACCATCCTGTCTTTGGCTATCTCTTCATATACTGCCTAAGCAAAGTAAAGTTATTGCAGGGCCAGCTCCAAAATTTTATAGGTCAGTGGACTCTCCCTGCCTTCATGGAGAGCATCCTACAACATAAGTGGTCACAGCTGGCTCCTAGCCTCTCAGCCTGCTCTTTTGTCACTGCACTATCTTGTTGATTTGTGCACCTGATCTTAAAGGTAGCAAGAACTTCCCTGAGAATTGTTTACAAGTTTTTAAATTATTTGAGCATTGTCTTGTTCCTCTCTTTTCCCCAAAAGAATAGTTTTTATGCAACCTTGTTGGAAGGCAAGATCCCTGGCTAACAGTGAGTTAGTTAACAATAAATGCCATGATTTTGTCTGCTCAAACTTTTAAGTCATGACATTATTCACTAGATTTCAGCTGACTACTAAGCACAGGAATCCACAAAATCAAAGCCAGTTCACTGATGAGCAGCTAACTAGTAGCATCTCAAACAATTCTAAGGAATACAGTCATTAAAGTTCTGTTAAATACTGGAAGCAACATTTCACATCTCAGAAAAATAGACTAGTGGTCACTTAGCATATGCTCACTTATGAAACCACATCTAAGTAAACTGTTAAGTACATGTCTGCTTGCTAGGGCAAGATTGTATGTTGTTCAGGTGTATAAACTGGTTGCATTCAGCATGCAGAATATTAACAATGGAGAACATACAGGCCTACTTGGGAATGAATCTGTTCTGGTTGTAGAGCTTTTTCCTCACCACTGAATCATCTCAGTTTTATTTGACAGTGATTTACATTTCCTATTTATCTGTGCAGCAAGGGCCTTGGTGACCTCATGCATTCCTATAAAATGTCGTGTGTTTCACAAAGGCTAGATATTAACAGGCAACTCACGCTTCAGGTGTGCCTCTGTACGTAGCCAAAACAGCACTATCCACACACAAGAGGAAAGCATCAGCAGTTTTGGGGGGAACCCAAAGGTGGGCAGAAGTATACAAAAATCTTGGTACGTTTGTGTGAGTGGGGTGGGGGGGTCAATCATGACCGAGGGTGCCCACTGGACACTGGGCTGGGGAATGGCATGGAGTATGTTGAAAACTGCATTTCCCACATTTTGTTTCAGGACCCACACATAATTTCTGATTAGCTGGGTAGAAGTAATGCTACATGACTTGCCTCAAAAAAGGAGAAAT